TACTGCCTCCGGCTCACTCTCCCTTGTCTTCTCCCCACTGGTCCAAGGCTCAGGTACCTCCTGGTGGCCAACCAGCCTCTCTGCGCCTTGCTCACAGTCGGAATCCTGTCCAGCGTCCTCCACATCCTCCAGAGCCAACTCAGAGGGCCCCTCGCTGTTGGAATCTGGTGGCAGCTCCATCGGCACTGCTGGGCCACAACAGTTATCAGTGTCAGCTTCAGAACAGTCTTCTTATTTTCCTAGTTGAGAAATTGGAATGGAGTGGAAGGATTTTGGATTTTAAAAAACTACTTTTTCTTCTGATTAACTGATGCATCCAAGCAGTTGTCTTTCTGGAATATTACCCTGAGTGTTGGAACATTGACAGCAAAGAAATAAAGATAGATCAAGTTTTCTATTTGCACAGTTAAGATGACCTTCATCCCATATGTCTCTCTGCCCAACCTTAAAAGGCAAATGTGCATTATTTAAAGTCTTCTTGGAACCTTGGTTCAGTTTCTCCCAGTGCATGGGTATTGAATAATTATTAATTGAACCAATATTTTGTTTGGACAAACGAACAGCATGTTGGCCTAGTGGTGAAGACACTCACTTCTGAATTGGAAGGTTGAAAGCTCAATCCTAACAGCGATAGATGTTGCTCTCTCAGATGCGAAGACAAAATATCTGCTGCGAATTCCACATAGGCATCAGGAAGGGCAATCGACCGGACAATGCCGTCTGGCGACTCCCCGGGGGAGAGACTTCTCTGTAGCTGTGCCGGCCCTGTGGAATGATCTACCCGTAGAGATCTGGACCCTTAGGCAAGAGAAAAACAGAAATTGGAATCATAACCTTCTTGCAGTCATTTTCTCTCCTTTTGTTTTCTGGCAAATTTCAGAAAGTGGACAGATAAAAAAATCCAATTTTAGGTTAAGTTGAGGGTTATCAGCGAAACAGATGAAATTATACTACTACCACCTGGATACCCATGCTTCATGATGAAACTATGTGATCGAGCAATGCAGGAGAAATCCAGTTCACTCTGGTTCAATCTGTTGGCTCAGTGGTGGTTTGTAACTGAAACACATACGGGAATATTGCTCTCACCACCTTGAGTTCAGAAGCAGTTCCATAGATGGAAGGCGTAGACATTTTGGTGAGGTACTAACATTTAGTACTCTAAAGATCCCCAGACCACTCCTGAGTGAGGGAGTGGAATGTATGCTAGTTTGAACAGAGGTAACAGAATGTGAGGCAACTGGCAGTTGGAACAGAGTTCTTATCAGGTGGGGAGGGGAAGTAGAACTCCTTAGCACCAGAGCGTGTTAATTACTGTATAAGAAATACGAATGATCTGATGGTTGTTTCAAAAAATCCTTTCTTAGCAAGCACCTAGAAGCCGAGAGGAACATACGTGCCAAATTTCAATTTTCAATTTCAATTTTTTAGGCTTTACGGTTCTGGAGATTTTGTGATGTCGTGTGAGTGGCATTTCACTAGATAGATAGATAGATAGATAGATAGATAGATAGATAGATAGATAGATAGATAGATNGAACTGCAGAACTGCAGTCAGCTGAAGTAGCCTGCAGTGCTGCATTTAACCACTGTGCCACCTCGGCCTACTCGGGAGTAAAGCCACAGGAGGGCGGTGAATGGCCCCTCCCATAGGGAATAAAGAGGAGCGAAAGGGGAATGGAGTTTGCAATTCAATTCATTAGAGTGAAGATCTGTTCCTGACTTCTTGCCAAGGAATTGCCGCTACAGCATGGAGTTTGGAAGATATCGGCCTGGCAGCTCTCCAAGCCTGATAAGGTCTGTGGTTGTAAATACACCCTTGAAAGACCGTTTGCCGGGATTTTGCTGGATGTGAATGAGAGGAATTCCCATGAGCTTAATAAAAAGTGGTTTTTGTCGGGACAAGGAGTCTGCTTCGTGATTTGATGCAGCCTAGGTCAAAAGATTGCCTTGGTATCCAGAGAACTGAAATCTCAGTTCTTTTCTAATGACCCACTATATATCAGCTTTAGATCTGTGGGGTAATCATAGAGTTATACAAAGATGGTCTTGAAGAAGGAATTCAATATCTGGAATGAATGAGTAGTTGAGGAAGAAACTCAATGTTTCTGAATCTTGCTTCTTTTGGGGATAACTGGAAGAGACAGGCTCATGTTAGGCTTTCTGGATTCTGCTATTATTTCCTTTAGCATTAGCAATAGCCCTTAAAATTATATACCGCTTTACAGGGCT